AACCACAACGATAGTTTGTCAAATAGACTCCGTTTTAACCTTCGCAAGGACCGGGCGTAGCCATACTTGGTTCAACTAAAGTTGGAGAGGCAGTCGCCCGCAAGCCATCTCTGTGCAAAGCACGTCGAGGGAACCGGTCTCGCGTAAGCGTACGCGTAAGGTTGGTCCGGGTCGTCTCGTCCAACAATACCGCTGAACCAAAATATGACATGCTGGTAGGCAGTATGACTTGTATCGTCCACAACTCACTTGTGTTCTACTCGTGCATATAACATCAACATCATTAACCTAGGCTCTGATACCACTGTTGGGTTTCGAAGTAATTTCAAAAATTTTCCTACGCGCACACAGGATCATGTGATGCATAGCAACGAGAGGAGAGTGTTGTCTACGTACCCAACGCAGACCGACTGCGGAAGCAATGACACGACGTAGAGGAAGTAGTCGTACGTCTTCACGATCCAACCGATCAAGCACCGAAACTACGGCACCTCCGAGTTCGAGCACACGTTCAGCTCGATGACGATCCCCGGACTCCGATCCAGCAAAGTGTCGGGGAAGAGTTTCGTCAGCACGACGGCGTGGTGACGATCTTGATGAACTACAGCAGCAGGGCTTCGCCTAAACTCCGCTACAGTATTATCGAGGAATATGGTGGCAGGGGGCACCGCACACGGCTAAGGAATCGATCACGTGGATCAACTTGTGTCAACTTGTGTGTTTAGAGGTGCCCCTGCCTCCGTATATAAAGGAGGAGAGGAGGGGAGGCTGGCCGGCCAAAGAGGGAGGCGCAGGAGAGTCCTACTCCCTCTGGGAGTAGGATTCCTCCCCCCAATCCTAGTCCAACTAGGATTCCTCGGAGGGGAAGGGAGAGAGGGGGCCCGGCCACCTTCTCCTAGTCCTAATAGGACTAGGGGAGGGGAAAGAGGCGCAGCCACCTTGGGCTGCCCCTTTCTCCTTTCCACTAAGGCCCATGATGGCCCATATGGCTCCCGGGGGGTTCCGGTAACCTCCCGGTAACCCGGTAAAATCCCGATTTCACCCAGAACACTTCCGATGTCCAAACATAGGCTTCCAATATATCAATCTTTACGTCTCGACCATTTCGAGACTCCTCGTCATGTCCGTGATCACATCCGGGACTCCGAACAACCTTCGGTACATCAAAATGCATAAACTCATAATATAACTGTCATCGTAACCTTAAGCGTGCGGACCCTACGGGTTCGAGAACAATGTAGACATGACCGAGACATGTCTCTGGTCAATAACCAATAGCGGGACCTGGATGCCCATATTGGCTTCTACATATTCTACGAAGATCTTTATCGGTCAGACCGCATAACAACATACGTTGTTCCCTTTGTCATCGGTATGTTACTTGCCCGAGATTCGATCGTCGGTATCCAATACCTAGTTCAATCTCGTTAACGGCAAGTCTCTTTACTCGTTCCGTAATACATCATCTCACAACTAACATATTAGTTGTAATGCTTGCAAGGCTTATGTGATGCGTATTACCGAGAGGGCCCAGAGATACCTCTCCGACAATCGGAGTGACAAATCCTAATCTCGAAATACGTCAACCCAACATCGACCATTGGAGACACCTGTAGTACTCCTTTATAATCACCCATTTACGTTGTGACGTTTGGTAGTACCCAAAGTGTTCCTCCGGTAAACGGGAGTTGCATAATCTCATAGTCGTAGGAACATGTATAAGTCATGAAGAAAGCAATAGCAACATACTAAACGATCAGGTGCTGAGCTAATGGAATGGGTCATGTCAATCAGATCATTCTACTAATGATGTGACCTCGTTAATCAAATAACAACTCATTGTTCATGGTTAGGAAACATAACCATCTTTGATTAACGAGCTAGTCAAGTAGAGGCATACTAGTGACACTCTGTTTGTCTATGTATTCACACATGTATTATGTTTCCGGAAAATACAATTCTAGCATGAATAATAAACATTTATCATGATTATAAGGAAATAAATAATAACTTTATTATTGCCTCTAGGGCATATTTCCTTCAAGTCTTCATATTCAAAACACGAGTGGGAGTACGATTGATGAGAAAACATGCAGTGGTGAAAGCATCACTCCAAAAACGAAACGGAACAGATGCATGGGCCAAAAAAGTCAGACCAGCTTCAACAATGTGACGATGCTTACGTTCTACTGAACCATTCTGCTGATGTGTATGTGGACATGCTAAACGGTGAGTGATCCCAAGCGACTGAAAGAAGGAGTTGAGGTTGCGATACTCGCCACCCCAGTCCGACTGAACATGAACAATTTTGTGCTTGAGAAGGCGTTCAACATGTTTTTGGAACTGAACAAAAATGTCAAACACATCAGATTTACGTTTGATAAGATAAAGCCAGGTAAAGCGGCTGTAAGCATCAACAAAACTGATATAATAATTATGACCACTAACAGAAGTCTGAGCAGGACCCCATACATTTGAAAACACAAGTTCTAAAGGATGTTTCACCTCACGACTGGACTTCGAAAAAGGAAGTTGATGACTCTTCCCCTGCTGACAAGCATCACACACTGCTACATCTTTATTACTAGACACACTAGGAAGCTCATGACGACGCAAAACATGCCGGACAATAGGTGTGGCCGGGTGACCAAGACGAGCATGCCACTGTGACGGAGATACCCGAACTCCACTGAAGACGCGAGCGACGCCAGGATGCTCCAGACGATAGAGACCTTGGCAGAGCCGCCCACTAAGAAGAATGTCCCTCGTGCCCCGATCCTTAATAAAAAGATCAAAAGGATGAAATTCACAAAGCACATTATTATCACGAGTGAGTTTAGGAACTGAAAGAAGATTACGTGTCACAGATGGAACTCGAAGAACATTGCGAAGTTGAAGACTCCTATTGGCATGTCTAGTGAGAAGTGATGCTTGACCAATATGAGAGATGTGCATACCTGCTCCATTTGCGGTGTGGATCTTGTCGGAGCCATGGTAGGGTTCACGAGTGTGAAGCTTCCCCATCTCACTGGTCAGGTGCTCTGTCGCCCCAGAGTCCATGTACCAGTGGGGATCAATGGAGTAGGACTGAGTGTGTCCCTGTGGCTTCTGCGGCGGCGGACGATCAGCCATGGCGACCTGACGAGCAAAGTTGCGTGTATCCTTCCCGTCATTGCCAAGACCAAGAAAACCCCGCTGGAAGCGCTTGTGACACTTCGAGGCCCAGTGCCCATCGCGACCACAAAGCTGGCACACACGTGGACCGCCAGCCCCTGGTAGCGTCGCAGTAGGAGGAGGGGCCGAGGCGGGTGGTGGTGACTGCCCCGAAGGAGCCCTGGATGAAGCAGAGGAGCGACCACCCTTGGTGGCGGCGTTTGCCGAGAGGGCGCCGTTGCCCCTGGATCGGCGCGTCTCGACTCGTTGCTCAGTAAGCAGGAGGCGTGAAAAGACCTCGTGTGCTGGCATGGGCGTGGAGTTGCCCCTCTCATTGATGATCTTGACTAGGGCGTCATACTCCTCATCAAGACCATTGACGATAAACGAGTTGAACTCGGAGTCGGTGAGGGGCTGTCCAATGGAGGCCAGCGTGTCGGCGAGACTCTTGACTTTGTTGTAGAACTCAGTGGCGGTGGAGTCAAGCTTCTGACACTCCCCAAGTTGGCGACGGAGCCCAGATACACGAGCCTGCGACTGTGCCGCAAACGAGCACTCAAGAATAGTCCATGCCTCGTGGGACGTCTTGGGGAAGACAACAAGCCCAGCAACGGCCGGAGAGAGCGACCCCTGGATGGAGGAGAGGTTCGCCTGATCCTGCCCTGTCCAGACACGGTGAGCCGGATTATAGACCGGACCATGCACGCTGTCAACCAGCGCAGAAGGGCAAGGAAGAGAGCCGTCGACATAGCCAAGCAGGTAGTGACTCCCAAGAAGCGGAAGAACCTGCGCGCGCCAGAAGATGTAATTGTCCGACGACAACTTGATGGTGATGAGATGGCCGAAGTGAAACGGCGGCGGCGGCTGCGATCCCATCGAGGAGACTGGCTGAGGTGAGAACACCGTGGAGACAGTCGGAGGGGCAGCCGGCGCGGTGACAGAGGGCGCGATGGCCGCGGTTGACGCCGCGAAGCCTGCCAGCGCGACGTCCTCCGCCACCAGCGGCGCAGTGGCTGAGGGCGCGACAGCCGCGGTTGACGGGGCGGCGGTGGTGTGGGCCACAAGCGCCTGCCCGGGCGAAGTAGCAGCCGGCGGGAGCGCGAAGAGGGAGCCGACGCTCCGTGTCCCAATCGGCGCCTGAAGGGAGGCGGCATCCAGCGGCCTCGAGAGAAGTGTCGCGAGGGAGGCCGGCAGAAAACCGGTGGCGGTGGAGCCGGACGCAGCGGCGGACGTCATAGCAGTCGGGCGACGGCGGCGGCGGGCGCGGCGGCGGCGGCGGTGGCGGCAGCGGCGGCGGCGGCGGTTTAGGGTTTTTAGGCGGAAGCGGACGTAACCTAGCGTGATACCATGTAAGACAATAGACTTTGGGGGGAACCGGCACAACCCTCTAGGGGTGGCCTATCACATATATATATAATGAGGTGGTATACAACGTTACAATATACACATGTAAATACAGTCTAACAGTCTGTAGTACTTCACCGCGCAGTGCATCAGATAAAATGTTGGGACCGGCTGTACACGGCAGCGACGACGGCACTGCGAGGTGCGCCACACAGATGCATGCAGAGCTTAGATCGTAAATGGATGTAGAAATTTTGGCGTAGCTAGCTGTATACTCGTTCGAAACCCAAATACAGCAGTTTTATTTAGTTCTTACCCACACCACAACTCCGTCGATCAGCAGATGCGCAGCAAGCTGCTGGGTCACTGGTACGGTGCAATATTTAGCTCACACGGCCATATATATATAACGCACGCCGCCGATCGCCGGTGCAGGTAGGCTGATGAGTCCCGATCGAACAATCGGCTGGCAATGCAGGCCGGCTGCAAAAAATGTGCGGCGATCAGCAGATGACGCACGCATTGGGGCCTTCCTCGGTGTGGATGAAGTAGCACGGGTGCGGGTGCTGAGGCGGCGGGTACCAGTGCGGCGGCGGGTAGCACGCCGGCAGGCACACTGGGACGAGCGTGCTCGCGTCCTTCTTGTCCCCGCACCCGCAGTCGTCCTTCTCCTCCTTGGCCGGGCCGACGGAGACCTCCTTCTTCTTCTCCTCCTCCTTGGCCGGGCCGACGGAGACCTCCTTCTTCTCCTCCTCCTTGGCCGGGCCGACGGAGACCACCTGCACCGTGCAGAAGCGCCTGCGCAGCTTGCCGACGACGTGGACGGGGTCGACCGTGCCCACGACCGTCATCTTGTCGTCCTTCATGTCCACGACGATCTGGTCGATGCCTGGGGAAGGAAGCCATGGTTACTTGTTGTCGTCAGAAGCGCCAAACTGAGACACGGGCAAGGAGTGAGTGACCTCCATCTCCATGCATGCATGCATGTTTTACGACGAAGCACACCAAGAACACAAGCAAGCAAGACACAATTAATGCCGCATGGATTCGGAGAAGAAGAAGGGGAGTAAGTAAGCACCACTGACCACAGAGAGTGGAGACGGCCTTGATCGCCCTGCGCTTCCCCGTGTCGTCGTGCAGGTCCAGCTTCACCACCACCTTCTGCAGCCGTCAGACCAGCCGATCAAACAAACTACTTAGTCATCAGGAGCCGATGTTAAAATCACAAGAGAACTTAAGAAATGCCAGTTCGATCGGCTGTAAGCAATGACCTTCACGGCGGCCATCGATCCGACGGCCCGGCTGGGATCCACGACGAACTTGGAAGGATGGGATGAGTTGAAATGGAACGGGGCGCGGCGGCTTTCTCTCCCGGCGACGATGGAGCTGTATGGGAGTATAATCTGGGAGTAGCTGGGCCGTGTGGTTTTATTTTAGAGCCGGAGGCCGTGGTACGTACGGGGGTGCCGGCGCACCCCCAGTGTTTAGTGTTGTTGGGGGTTGGGAAGGTGTAGACCGTCGGGGAGTACGTACGGTACGGTGGCGCCGGGGAATGGCCACGACGGACGGCCGACGTCCTGCCGGAGTCTTGGTGCGCGTCCGGCCGGGGTGGCTAGCTCCATGGATTGCGACTTGGCGTCTTGGCGAGGGTATTGACGGACTTGGGCTTGTGAGCTAACCAGGCCGACCGATGTGGCGTTGGGGTGTCAGTGATGTGGCCCGGTTACCACTCTCGTGCCGATGGTGCAACCCGTACGTCCGTCCCTTGTTCGGCCTGATGCGATGGACGTTATTGCAAGAGTAGAGCTAGCGGCGGCGAATGGTTAATTGGCCCGGCACCCCAGCCGCCAACCAACTATCACCATGGCCGGAAACACAGAGTATGGACGAGAGTTTATTGCCCCACTACCCAATATAAACGACTAGCAAGAGTGTGTGCCTGTTAGATCGATTTGTAAATCTTAATGTCTACTCCCTCGGTCCCATGAAGACCCCTCCCCCTGCCTGGTGGCTCAAGGACCAGGAGCGCAAGAAGAGAAGGAAGGAGGAATACAAAAAGAAGGGGCTGGAGCTTAAGCGCAAGGAAGCGCTCCATCCCCACTGCGGTGACCGGGCGGGCGACCCTTTCAACAAACCGAAGATGAAGAAGCAAAAGCCCACGATGAAGGCGGCTTCCAAGCCCTCCTCTTCCAAAGGCACGGCGGCGGAGCCAATCCCCGTCGAGGAGTCGGCGGGGCCGGAGTGCTTTCGCTGCGGGCCCACAGGCCACTACCAGAATGAGTGCGCCTTCCAGCAGTTGTGCGTGCTCTGCAGCATGGAGGGCCATGTGTTGGTGTACTGCCCCACGCGTGGCAAGCAACTGGTGCTCCAGACCATGGGTCACGCCTTCGCGGGAGGCGGCTTATTCTGCTTGCAGTACCCAGAGGAGGCGTACGCGGGGGCGTCGGAGCTGCCGGGGGTCAACGCGGCGCTGGTGTCGTCCGCGCCTGGCGTCCTGTTGAAGGAAATCCTGGAGGCAGAGCTCCCCCACCTCGTCGAGGGGGAGTGGGACTGGCAGGTGGCTCCGTTCGACGTGGACTGTTTCTCGGTGGCTTTCCCAGATTCGGCTTTGCTGAGGATGGCGATGCGCAGCGGCAAGTTGTTCCTCCCCATCAACAACATCACGGCGAACATTCGCGACGCGGTCCTCGCCGAGCCCAAGGCGTAGTCGATGCTGGAAGTGTGGGTGAAGATGTGGGGCATCCCCCCGAAGCAGCGGCACGTGGAGCGTCTGATGACGGCCACGACCATGATCGGGCGGCCCCTTGTGGTGGATGAGCTGTCCTTGATTCGGTCCGGTCTGGTGCGCATGCGCTTCGCGTGTCGTGTGCCGACCAAGCTCCGGGGCTCTGTGCAGATCTGGTTCAATGGAGAAGGTTACAACATCAAGCTCGAGCCGGAGTTAGAGTCTCGTCCGGCGGCCCCCGCCCTCCCACCTCCTCCGCCCCCGTCCAGTGGCCGCGGGCCCGATGAGTAAGACAAGGACAAGCAAAAGGACAAGGCTCCAGAGCAAGAGGCGAGCATGGAGGAGGACGACTCCATCGACACGACGGCGTGGGACAAGCTGGGGATCTCCGCGTCGGGCCCTGTTGCTCAGGTGGAAGGGGCAACGATGACGCGGGCGGCTGAGGAGGGGGGATCGGTGGGGATGACGATCTCGATCCCCAACCAATATGGCTCAAACATGGGGTTGGTCTCCTCCCCTCCCATGGCGGCTGCGGGTGCGGATGGTGGTCTGTTCCCGCACGGCCGCTCCCCTTCTTCCTCGCGTCCCCGCCCCGCTGGGTCTCCTGCCTCTGGTGGTCGCGGCTCTACACTTAGCGGCTCGGTGAAGCTCATGAAGAAGACGGCGGTGCGCAAGGTCAGCGCGGAGGCGGTGCGCGCGATGGAGCCGCTGGGGGCGCCTGTCACTCCGAGGCAGTCGGTCATGGTGCTGGCGGCCCCAACAGCGCCTCCAGTGGACCAGCTGCTGCAGGACGCCTCCAAGACGGTGCTGATTTTGATGGCCAAGCGCACCAAGACGGTGCCAGCGGCGCCGGTGCGCACCAGCTCGCGTTCGAAGGGGGCCAAGGGCAATATGTCGTCCTTGCAGAGAGCGCAACTCCTCCAAGCCCAGAAGAACATGGAGATCTCAGGTAACCCACCCCCCGGTATACAGTTCTAGATGATTTCTCGGACGATCATTTGCATGAGGTGTTAGATGCGAGCGGTGTGGATCCCTCCTGTGTAGTAGGGGTTAGCGAGTTGATTTCGCTGGTGCGCGCTAAGGAGTTAGCGCAGGCCGCGATCGCGGCTGCCGTTGCAGAGCGTGCTGAGCAGAGACCCCGGGTACCCGAGGGAGGGGACGCCGTGGTGATCTCTGTGCCCGAAGAGGGGGACATGCAACAGGGGTTGCTCCCTCTCCCATGACTTGTAAGGGCAAGACGAGGCGAGTGGCTAAAGCGGTCACCTCCAGGGGTGTCCGGCTCCAGAATCGCGTGATCTAGATGCGAGCTTTGTTCTAGAATATCCGTGGCTTCGGTCACGTGGGGCGGCGTACCCAACTTAAAGAGTACATGCGCAAAGAGGACATAGATATCGTAGGGCTTCAAGAGACGATAAAGGCAGATTTTCGTTTTCATGAACTGCTTGCGATCGACCCCTTGAAGCGCTTCGAGTGGCAGCACGCCCCTGCTGTAGGGCACTTAGGTGGCATGCTGCTGGGCTTGAGCCGAGCCCTGTACGAGGTTATTGACTGGGACGTAGGATCGTTTTATATCGCGGCTCATTTCCGTATTCGTGCCTCGCTTCGCGAGTTAGCAATCATACAAGTCTACGGACCGGCCGATCACTCTCGTTCTGTGGAGTTCTTGGCGGAACTCCAGGCCAAAGTCACCACGATGTCTGCGGCCACGCTCCCTGTTCTGGTGGGTGGAGATTTCAACCTTATCCGATCGGGAGCCGACAAGAACAACAACAATATAAACTGGCCTAGGGTGACCATGTTTAAGTCCGCCATTGCTGCCATGGCCCTAAGGGAGGTGACCAGGTCAGGCGCGAGGTTCACTTGGACTAATAAACAACTCGATTCGGTGCGCTCAGTGCTGGATAGGGTGTTCATGTCGCCGGAATGGGAAATGGGCTTCCCTCTCTGTACATTGGTCGCGGAGACACGCATAGGCTCTGACCATGTACCGCTCGTCTATTCCTCGGGGGAGGACAGGGTGTGACGCAGCCCGCGCTTCTTCTTCGAAACAGCCTGGTTCGAAGTGCCAGGCTTCGAGGAGATTTTCAGGGCGAAATGGCGGGCGTGCGTTGATTCGTTAGGACCCCAGAGAGGCCCGATAGAATTTTGGAACGCGGTGGGGGGCCGGCTCAGGGCTAGCCTCAAGGGATGGGGCGCAAACCTAGGGAGGTCTGACAAAGAGCGCCGCACCGAGATCCTTGCGGAAATCGCAAGGATTGATGCACTGGCTGATGCTAGGGCCTTCTCAGAGCAGGAATGGGCCCATCGCTACGCCCTGGAGGGCCAGGTAGAAGCGTCCCTGCGCGCGGAGGAAGAATACTGGCGTAGACGAAGTGGTCTGAAGTGGGTTCTGAAGGGCGACGCCAATACTAAGTATTTCCAGGCTTATGCTAACGGGCGTCGTCGGAAATGTTCCATCTTAAGGTTGCAATCAGAGCAGGGGCTTCTGTTGCGACAGGAGGACATCTCCCGACACATTTACGAGTTCTACATCAATTTGATGGGCTCGTGCGAGGCCCAGGGGGCGGGGCTCCGCGAAGACGTTTGGAAGGATTCGCAACGTGTGTTGGACTGTGAAAACGAAGCGCCAGGGCTTGCCTTTCTGCCAGAAGAGATCGACGCCGCTCTCCTCGGTATGAAAGTGGACACGGCGCCGGGACCAGACGGTTGGCCGGTGGTGATGTTCAAGCGCTTCTGGCCTTTGCTTAGGGGCCCCATTTTCGAGATCTGTAACGGTTTCATGAGGGGGATGGTTGACATCTCGCGCCTCAACTATGGCGTCTTAACGCTCATCCCGAAGGTCCAAGGGGCAGACAATATTAGACAATTCCGACCGATCGCGCTCATTAATGTGCCTTTTAAAATCTGTGCAAAAGCGTGCGCCAATAGACTAGGTCCGATAGCTCATCGCTCGATTAATCGAAACCAATCTGCTTTCATTCGAGGACGCAACATTTTAGAGGGACCGCTCGCCCTGCAAGAGATCGTTCATGAACTAAAGCGCACTAAGGAAGCGACGGTGCTGCTGAAACTTGATTTCGAGAAGGCATACGACCATGTGAATTGGGATTTCTTGCGGCAAGTGCTTATCGAAAGAGGCTTTTCCGACGTTTGGGTCCACCGCATTTTGCAGTTGGTGTCGGGAGGCCAAACTGTAGTCTCGGTGAACGGAGAAATAGGGCATTTCTTCCGGAACAAACGCGGGCTCAGGCAGGGTGATCCGATCTCACCTCTCCTTTTTCAACTTCGTGGTGGACGCTCTGTTCACAATGCTTCGGAAAGCAGCCAAAGCAGGCCATATCCAAGGGTTGGTAGGCCACCTCATTCCAGGGGGAGTGACGCATCTGCAATATGCAGATGACACGCTGCTTTTGTTTCGCCCTGACCACCACAGCATTGCGTCGGTCAAAGCGATTCTAATTTGTTTTGAGCTCATGTTAGGGCTTAAAATAAATTTTCATAAATGCGAGGTGCTCACGATGGGGGTTGAGCCGGAGAAAGGTAAACGTATAGCGGATTTAC